TCTCAAATTTTAGGGATGTTATTTCTTTAGTCACTAATTTTATATATTTTTTATTTTAACGATAAAAGGTAATTATACGCAGTAGTACAATTTAAATTTTAAGTTTAATGATCTAGTGGATTCTATTTTTAATAAAAACTTTAAAAAATCAGCTCTGGATGTTAATCAAAGCATCTGTGAAATTAATTAGAAAAAAATGGGCTGCAATTTTAAAAAAAATACAGAGTTATTGTTGGAATTCTACTTATATTAATTTTAAAAAATTTATTGGACTTTGACTTTGACGGTAATTAAATTAAACAATTAAATTGTTTTAAATTTTCCATTAATTTATCATTAAGTCTCACTAATTGACAATTAATTTACCAGATTAACTTTATCTCGAGCTCGTTCTCCGTCCAGCCTTATATAGAGAGGCACTTTTGCTCTTTTCTTGTTTGTAGTCTATTTAAATATCATAATGAGGCGCAGAGAGCGCGCGTATGTATAAAATGCCTACATAAATACAATAATAAAAAGTATACTGATAAAGCGAGCAGAGTCGGGGCATAAAGAGGTGCTCTCGGTGATAAGACGCAATAAAGAGAGGAACACACGCACGCAGCGCCGGCGAGAGTAGAATGCTGTGTAAAGCGCGTTTTAACACCTCGAGCTCGCTCTCGCGCCGCGCGGCCAGTGTAAATAATCTCGAAAATCCTCCTTATTTGCTTTTTTATTATTGTGGCGGAAAAAGCCAGCCAGAGCTGCGTGTCTCGCCAAAAAGCAAGGGTTAAGCTCTGCTCACACGGCGCAACAAGACGCGCTGGATTAGCTTCTGCAAATATACCTGCCGCTTTAAATTGGTCTGGCTTTAACATATAAACACATACAAAGAAGGTTTTCACCAAGAGAGAGGCAGAAGCTGCGAATTTTTTTACTTTGCTTGAAGGCTAAAAGTAGTTGAATCAACAATTTAATGAAAATATACACGTCATATAATATGAACTTCTGAAGATAAAAATAATATAATATTTGAAGAAATCGTTGCAGAATTTTTACGTTTAAACTTTTAACGTTTTTGTATTTTATGAAAAGGCTCGATTTGATAGTTAATGGCTTTTATTATGAAATAATTTGAAAAATTCTAATATCCGATAATAAAAGATTATTAATTTTTGGTCATTGTTTAGGTATTAAAAGGTCGTTTTTCAGCAAATAAGTTCTTAAATGCTTAAATTGAGTATTTTTTTATTTTGTAAATATTATGAAAAAAATATTCAAACTATTATTATTTTTTTACATTGTTAAAGAAGCCCTTGCAACCAAAAGTTGTGATTAAAATTTTGATTAATTAAATTGCCAAAAATCGCTTATATTGTTGGAAAGACTTAATTTGACTATGCCAATGAGAAATTGTTATTAATTTTTTATAACAAAAACATAAAAAATATTTTTAGTGACAAAATTTACGCATTGATTAAATTTAAAAGATTTAAATTGCTTTTAATTTAATTAAACATATTTTTATTTGATTTAATTATTATAATCCCTATACATTTTTAATATATGAAGAAAATTTTGAAAAGCTGATCAACTTTTCATTTCAAATAAGTCAAACTAAAAATTTGATTTTTAAAATCACATGTATTGTTAGGATTGGAGTTTTTTATATTTTTTGTTTATTTTTGTTCTGACCATCTCTCTCATATGCAGTGTTTGCCGTTTGTCTAGCTGCCGAAGAGATACGTCTGCCGCACTTGAGCTTTTTTTTCACTCTCGGTGTCTCTTTCGCCCTCTTGAGGCGGCCATTGGCTGCAGCGATCGTCCACTTCATTATTGTAGTCAAACAAAGCTCAGCGTCTCTTCTTCTATATCTTTTAGGACTTTATTTGCGGTATGATGAAGCAGAAGGGGACGCTTGGAGCAGGTAAGCGACGCGTGTGGCCATTAGGCCCGCAATCAGTGCGGTTGTGCAATAAATTGTTGGTCTCTCGCGAGGGGAAATTTGTGTCTTCATGGGCCGAAAGTGGCAATTTGTCACCTGCTCGATTGTTATTGTACGCGAGAGAGGTAAGCAGATCTCCTCAAACACCACGTCCAACAAATTCCCTTATCATCGCGCCACGATCTCTCTCCGAGTTCCCTCTGCGAGCACTAAAAATGAGCGAGATTTTCATTAGCGCGCAGCAACCCGCTTTTTGTGCTGTAATAAAACGCGCGCCCGTGAAACTTAATATTAAATAAAAAGCTTCCTGCGAGCCGCTCAAATATTTTCTCAATAACTCACACCGACCGGACATGTTCTTGAATAATTTGTCTTTTTGTTAATCATGACACTTCATGTGGCATTATTTTTTGTGTTTTATTCCAAGATAGAAAAATTTTACTCTTGAAATCTCGGAACATGAACTTTTATGAAATTTTCTACCTCAAAATTCAACCAAACTGGCATAATTTGGGAATCATTAAACATAGAGATTATTAGAGATTTATGTCTTCAAGAATGCAAAACGAGGGACATCAATATACTGAGAATAAAATAAATTTCACACAAGTACAACTTTTGAAACTTTTTTGAAAACAAAACAAAATAAATAGAAATATTGCAAACAAAAAATGAAAAGAGAAAAATTAATGTATATTTGATTTTTTTCTCTTCATGCATTTTGCCCAGTATGGCTATGGCTCGTAAATCTAAGACTTACAATTAGTAAAAATATGCAATTCTTGAAAATTTAATTTTAAACTTTTGTAATCACTGTATAATTCTTTTAATGCAAAGCATGCATTTTAAATTAATTTACTGTTTGATAGAACAGTAAAATGAGGTTCATTATAAAATATAATAATTAATAAATAAGTAAAATTATGAAGCTTTATTACACAGAAAAAACTTTAAACTTAGAGGTTTAAATTTAACCATTTTCCAATAAAAATTACTTATATTAAGCAAAGGCCGCGCATAGCTCTATTATGTTGGCCAAAAAAAAAGATGTCTTCCGCCCGAGCCATAAGGCCCCATGGCTCTGACGGCAGCCGTGTACCAACATAATTTTGGGATGCGCAGCCTTTGATATTAAGACACAATTTTGAACGCCACTGTCACAATTTACTGGCACGTGCACCTCTTCTAATAAAAACGAGAAATTCAAAGATCACGCGCTTCAATCACGCGACCACTCTTTCTCTCGGATGAATGAAACCATTTTTTTTTTCAATGAACCGGAGCGGCTCGAAACAATAAAAAGCCGAACGAAATAACACACATTATCGCATTTAGGAAACGCACGGCCTGTGAATGAATGGGCGCCTCAAAACGATTCTCCGCAGCAATCGGAATACATCTATCGCCTGCGAGCATCTCTCTCTCCCGTGTCCAAATGAATGGCCAGACGCGTCGGGACGAGAGCCATAAAAATATATTCGTATAGGAGAGTCCGTCCGTCCGCTGCTCCTTAAAAATCGAATTCCTATACGCCGTTTTTTGTGGCGTGTGATTGAGAGTGACGAGGAATTTATCACGGGGGCAGTGATGGGCTGATTGGTCTCTCTGTGTTTATTTATGAATTGGAGTATAAAAAAAGAGGATAGGAACGAAAATTGGTGTTTGATTTTGTAAACTGAGGAAATGGAATAGTTTGAGCAAGAGGTGAATTCTTCTATGTATCCCCAAATGTGCAGGAAGTTTGCAAATTTGACGCCCAAAATCTCCTTTCATGGAGTTTTACAGTTTTGCGTCTGATCCCATTATCTATTAACATTTCCTGCAGGAAAGGTTGGGTTTCTTTCAAAAAATGTCCTCGGAAACCAATTGTTTCTGGTGATTTTTTACTTGAGGAATATAATAAATTCAAAATTTTGACAATATTATATCATTAATGAAGTATGAAATATGGAAACTTAACCTGATTAAAGTATTTATTTTGCACCTTAACCATTTTTAAATAAAATGTAGCAAATTAATAGCAATTTTATTTTCAAAAGTGATCAAATTTTAAATTAGATAGTAATGGTTTCTAAGCTTGAAGGACTTGATAGTGCCCAAACATTTTTTTGTTGTTGCTCCAAACCAAAATCAAAATTCCTCCTTTAAATTGCTTTAAATGTCTGAAATGGGCTGAAAATTGTCAGGAAAGCAAAAAAAGCTGAAGTTTCATTATTAAAAAATCCTAATTAACCTTAATTTTTATTACAATAGAGTTAAGATTATAAAATGTGCCGGGAAAGGAAAAAGACAATCAGCTGTAGGAAAAACGCCCACTTAGAGCCATAGTGATAAGAAAAACCGCCTAAATTAACCAGTAAAAACCGGTAATAACCAGCAATGCAATTGTGCCAACTAAAAAAACATGGTCTGGAATATACTATATAATCACAGGTTTTGCCCCAAGTAGGAGTTTCTGAAAGATTGCCTATTTTCATAACATTTATTATTTGGAACTTTTCTCCTTTAGGTGTGGAAGAAAAATAACATTGAAATGTTTGCAAATGCAAATCAGTTGTTGTTTTTGAAAAAAATCATATGCAATTTAATAAATATTCTTTAAAGGCAAATGACAAAAATTTAATATTTTACAGGATCTTCTTTACTGATTAAAAAGGGGTCTCGGTGATTGACTTAAAAATGTGCATATTTACAAGGAAAACGCTTTTTCTTATCAAAATAATTGATTATGAACTTAAAATTCCAGTGAAAAAGTTGGACCTTGGCTTGTGGAGCCCAGACAAGACTTGCAAAAAGGGATGCCCATTTGGCATATAAATTCAAGAGTGCTAATGAAGCGAATTCCTGAGTGCCCTGCTCGCGCCGTCCTTCCGCGGGAGTCGCGCGACGCGGCCGCGCGCTTACCAATGACAGCCGAGTCCGTGAAAAGGGGCCGGGACAAATTATTCCGAGTGGCACCGCGGCCAGCAATGGTGCTCGCGGCGGCTCGAGGAGGGGGAAAAGAGGGGCCGCAGCCGCCGTCGCCACTCGCCTTTAATGAAATTACTCGCATTTTTCTCTTTTCGGTGCGCGACCAGCGGAGAGGAGCGTGCTCGCGAGCTGAAATTTCGGAAGGAAACCCGAGCCAAACGCACGTGTTGGTCGCTCGCCCGCTCGCCTGTCCGAATTGTGCCCCGCGTGTGGTTTTCGCAAGATGCACAGTGCATGACCGCGAGCCGAGGAAAAGTAGTGCCAACGCGTCGCGCGAAACCAGAGAGCCCCAGACGCTGAATCCGCCGCTCCAAAATGTTGCACGATGGCTGATTTCGCTGAGGTGAGTGCCGTCCGTTTCCTGCTTTGCTTGAATTTCATCCCCCTCACCGGCGATTCGCAAGCTGCGCATCCCCCTCACATCACACCTGCTCTCTCACAAAAGTGCTCGAAATCCGTGCAGTTCCGTTCACGAAACGAAAAAATCACAGCTTAATTTATTTCAAGAATTTAATTTTCGATAGAGTCCAGTTTTAAACAGTTTTAAAGGTGCCTTCGCAGACTAATAATCCTGCGGTTGTATTGAATGAAAGTGCCTTGTGCGTATGCAACCGGCACGACTCCATATCCAATGATCCATTCAGCTTCGAAGCCGACTGGATTTGCGTTGCTTATGCAACCCGGACGACAGTGTGCAAGGGCAGGTTGCATCTCCACTATTTCACTTTGCTATTTTAGACAAATTTACACAATTTAAGAATTTTTTCAAAGGGATTTTAACCAGCATTTCATTTTTTTTAAATTCAGTGGTTTTAGTTACAAGACGTTTAATTTTAAGATGGTTTGATGGAAATTTTATTTGCAAATTTATTATATTGGCGTAACTCAAGGCCAAGTACAGCAACCTCATCTCTGCTCAAATGGAGATGCAGATTGTGAAATGTTTTATTTTTTTATTTAACCAAAAATGCTTTAAATGAGAGAACAAACGTATATTTTAAGTTGACTTAGATGTATTGAACGATTTGTCTTTTATTTTATTGAATTAATTTTATTTTTAGAAAAACTGTTGAATTTTTAGATCAGTCTAATGTTCTTTTAAGGCTTATTTTTCTATTTTTTCCGAGGTCACTGGTTAATAAGCAAGCTATTTTTATCTATCTTTTTTAACATTCCCATTTCTTGGTAAATTAGGAAATGAAAGATTGCAAGATTTTATAAAGGTCGTTTGTCTGATAATTTCTAATCACCCCAATGTTTGCTTGTTGCTCATTGTTTTACGCTATTATCAAAAGTGCTGTTCCTTTCAATGGCTGCATTGAACTGACTATAATTTTCTTATATATTTGCAATTTTGAGCAAAAGTATTTATACATAGAGATTAAAATTTAAGGACTCGTGGCATAATCGAATCATGTTTACAACAATTTTAATCATTTTTTGGAAATTATTGGACGATTTATGAATCATTATTGCAAAGACTTGATTTGATGCTCTAGTTGTGCGAAAAAAATCGTTTATTTAAAATTATTTATATGTTTTCATGGCAATTTCAATCTGATGAAACGTTTTGCATTATTTGAAGAATTTTATGATTCTTGCTGATTGATTTCTTTATTTTTAATTTAAAAATTTTCTGCTGACATTGAATCTAATTTTATGATATTTTAAGAGCTGAGGAGATTATTAAAAAAACATGCCATTCTCAGAACCCTTTAATTCATTATTAATTTTCCTTCAACTAAGCCCCTCTTCGCGAGTTACATGTTGTATTATTTTTTGCCGTTTCATATCTAAAATTTAATCAAATGCCAAGTCAACCGCGGCGCGGCAATAACGAGGATTAGCTGACTGTGCGAATTCGCTCTCGGTCCGAATTAAAGGCATTAAAACAAACACCGTCGGGAAAGAATTATCGATATCTCGGAACGGCTCCTAAAATTAAATCACGCCACTCCGTCCGCGGTGATAAAAAGGCTGACGGAGAGCAGCGCGGGAGATAGTCGAGTCACTTTGCCGGCGATTACGGACACTAATCCCCACTGTGAAGAGCCGCTCGGCCTCGGAGAGATTTGAACGCTCGATATCAATGAGCGCGTATTGCTTAAAAGCTTTGCTGCCGCCGCGGTACGAATTAACGATGAATGTGAGAGGTGTTCGACTTGACACATTTGAGATATTCGTCGTGTGTTGCTCCTCCGTCCGACATCACGAATTCCAGCAACTGACGCGCGCGAGAGAGAGACTTTTTGTGTCCAAATTTTTCTTCCTGCGAGGGAGTTGGACGCATGTTTGTTAAAAGCTTCCATTTGGAAGTATATTAAAAAAAACATACCACAGAATTTCTCTCATCAGTCATCAGCCATTTATTTTATTTTAAGAAATCCTCATTGGCATCGTAAAACAGTGCGGTGGAAAAATTGAAATCGTCTTTTTACAATCAAAAGAGAATTTATATAGTTAGTTTCTATTGTGAAAAATTGTTCTGATTATGCCAATAAGATTCAAATACAAAAATTTATCAAATCTTGCATTTGATTCTATATTTCATTTGCATCAGATTAAAATTGTAATTAATCCCTTTATTTATATTTATTCTACAATCAGATACAATGAAATACACAACATCTTACAACAAGTCAATACACAAAAATCAAATATAAATTTAATTTGAAGAATTTAATTTTAGATTGGGTGAGATTGAAGCCAAACAAAGAACAAATTGTTTTGTAGAAATTCATGCAAATTTTATTTAAAATTGGATGGAAATGCAAAACTTTTTTTAAATGCTTTCAAGGAATCGTTATTTGGGATAGACAAATGAAGTCCCTACGGAGGATGGAATCTTTTTGATATAGGAAGTTTTATAACAAAACTCTTGCTATTAGTGCTTGTTTCCGATTAGCATGAACAATGCAATACTTCTCACTTCTTTCCCAACAATTGATTTATTCTTCAGCTATTTAATTTTTTTTTTGCAAAATTTGACTAATCAACAATAATATAATTTAATATTAATTGCAATAATTTTGAAACAAGAAATTGATTCTATTCAGTCAATCTCTGGTAAATTGATTAAAAATTAAAGTTATTATTTGATATTTTCAAGCGAAAATTTCTCTGCAGCTAAACCCAGAAAACTGGAAATTAGAAATTAAGTTTAAAGAAAGTTAATTATTAAATTATAACCAAAATTTAAGTCATTTAAGCTTTATTTTGAAGTTATTAACAATTTTTATTCAATCAATATAAACCCACATTTTCACATCACAGATTTGAAAATAATGAAAGCGAGAGTGGAACCAGCTCTGCTCTTTTGCCATAAATCTCGGCGTTCAGCAACAATGCAAATAAAGCACGGCGAAGAACAACACAAGCGTTTTGTCCACTCTCTCTTTCTCGAACATTTCGCTTTTTGATCACACAGTAGGGTGTACGTCTGGTCATGATATTGTATTGCATTCGTACTAGCTGACTTTATCAGTCGCTTATATATTAAATGTGCATGCTCGCGAGAGATGTAATAAATGATACTAACTCTACCGCAAACCTACACACACTCGCATATATGCGAGAGAGATGCAGAAAAATTTCCACCGGCAGTTTTATTCGAAAAGAGTGGAAATTTGATATGCGGACGATTTGTATCTCTGTAGAGGCCAACCTGCCCGCCTGCCATAATAATATTCTCTCTCTGCTTTTCGGACGAGAGCGAAATCCGAGACCCGAGCAGACGCGTGCGCCGCTTTTCTCCGTGCCATTTTCCCATAACACATACTCTGGCAGGTATATATTGTTGTTTCTGGAAAAAAAATTAACAGGGTGAAATTTCCACGAGTTGCTTAAAATAATGGCGGACTTTAATCCTCACTTAGCCTTTAAAATCATCTTTAAATATAAATTAATCAATTTTGAAAGTTATATTTTGGGATTTTTAAAATTTATTTAGAGAAAAGAAAATAAAAATGCATAAAAATGGTTTGCGTATAATTTTTATTATATTTTAACGAATCTCAATTATAATGAAATAGATAAATTTATGTTTATATTTTAATATTTAATAGATTGTCGTGTATTAAAAAAATATTTTATTAATTTTGAAAATAAATCTTTTTTCAAATAAATTTAATTAATCCTATTTCTGAATTCTGACTGTTTCTTAAGGAATTGACAAACAGTGTGAATTATAGGCAAAAGAAATATTTCACATATATATCCAATATTTACTCTTGACTTTGACTCACTTATCTGCTCACGTTGTAAAGATTGCATGCTATCATAATAATCAGAAACATTGAGCTCTAGGGCGGAATTTTTATACGTTTAAGACAAATTGGTGCAATATCCTTTTTCCAATTAAACAGGTCTTCGCGCTGGAATTTTATTTTATGTGGGATCAAGAACATTTAATTTCTTTTTATATATCCTTCCTTGTAATTAATGAGTTTAAACTTCACTTGATATTAATATTGCACTTCAGCAGTTCAAGTCACATAAGTTTTATTAATTTTAATAATCAAAAATAAAATAAACACGTTTATTTAATCTCCAAGCGTCAAAGACATGAATTGTATCAATAATTTAATTTACAAAAATGTACACAAATTAAAATACATTTTTAAAAACATGAATCAAAATGGAATGACAATGACGACGATTAATTGGGTTTAATAATTCAGTTTATTTTCATGTTCCCCTGTTGATTAAATGCTTTTATCGGCATTAAATTCTAATTATTAATATTATTTAGTTTTCATTTTTAAAAAGTGAAATTTAAATAAATAAAATAGCTCAGACGAAGAAAAAAAAGAAAAAAAATCAATTTTCCTTTTGAAACCACTAGGGTAGGCAGATATCAACCGCGGCGTCCACCTGACTGAACACAAGTGATTTTTTTTTCTCTTTCTTCTCTGCGGTCGGAAAAAACCGTCTGCTCGCACAAAAAGGACATAATTAAAATTTATTTGAACTGCTGAGATGTCGCGCACACACTCGGGTGTCCGTTCGTCTCTTCTCTCTCCTCTGTATCGAGTATAATAGCGCGTCGTGTCCCTTTTCACGTGATTTATGCGCGGTAAATTAAAAAAAAGAGGAAGAAAATGTGTAATAATATCGCGGCGAGTGTGCTTCTGCTTGTGCGTGTGTAAGTCTTTATTAAAAAAGATTTTCGTATTCACGCTTCCTCGATTGTGCGCCTGCCGAGTGAGGATTTATTGAAATTTTTCTCTCTCGCTTTCAAATATCACCGCGCGCGAGTGTTTTGTATGCCGCGCGTGTTTTCAATGAGTAGGAAATTGTGTTTATGCGTGTAACTCTTAAAAGGACAATGGGCCTCCTGACCACCTAAATGACACCGTAGACGCGCCAGGGACACTAAATTTTTTATTCAGTCCCTTCGTTTCCTTGATTTTGTTCCTTCAAGAAAAGTTAATAGTAACTTTTTGAGAGAAAAAAATTAATATAAATTCAATTTCATGATTTTATAAAAAGGCTAACTAATTTCTATTAAAAATTTTTCACTAAATTTAGTATTTACTTAAATTTTTTACAAAAGGTCCTTAATTTTATTCTTATAAGAGTTCTTTGTTTGAAAAGTCTATCATGTAATTAATTGAAAATTTAGTTTTTAAATTTTTGTTTCAAATAAATAAATTCATATTACTTCATTTGTTTAAACCAATTTATTTAATTATCGGATGAGACTAAAATTAAAAGTTTTACATTTGGTTTAGCATAGCTGAATTTTTGTTCTTTAAACTTGCTGGTGCTGTTTTTTTTTCAAAACAAATAATCAATTTTTTTCCTTTCTTCGTTGTAACAATTAACCTTAACAGATAAATAAAAAACGGGAATTAAGATAATTAATTTAATAATCTTTTTTTTAACTTTTCTAAATTTATTTCAATATATATTAAGTTATTTTTATTATTTTTTTATCATTTAGCTTAAGATTAATTACAAAAATCCTCTTCAACAATTAGATTGAAAATTGAATTAAAATTTTCCATTTTTATTTTATTGAGCAGAGAAAAAATAATAAATATTTCTTTTACATCATTCATATCTTCAATGTGAATTAAATTTTAATAGATTCCATGTATTATACTTCAAATCTCAATTTTTGTTTTTATGAATAAATTTAAATCTTCATTCTCAACCATTTTGATGTAGATGGGATTTGAAATTGTACAAAATTTAGACATTTAGAGCGAGTAATTAATTAATCTTCATTTAAGATTTTCTTCAAAGTTAAATAAATTTCCATTAAATTGATTATTTGGCCGGTTTTTATACTTGAAATGAATTTAAATATCTTTTGTAAATTTGAATGAGAAGTGAATGAAAATTCATCATTTTTATTAATCATCTTGCGTGGAGGTGCAAGTAGCCACTTGAGTACATTTTGTCTGTACGAAAAGTGACGCCACCCTTTCTTTCATTCAAGATCTGACGCAATTAAAATTCTATCAACCCTACTCATGTGGAGAGATGGCCAAGAAAGGCCGTATATGTTTACTTTGGCCGCGAGTCAAAGTAGATCTGCTGCGAGCGAAAACATATATATTTTTTTTACATGCGCGCAACGTGCAGGTATTCAGTCCTCGCACACATCATATTGCTCCGATCTCTCGAAACAACAGTCGCTCTTTTATGAATGGAATGCGAGAGCGGCCGCTGAAAAAATAAAACGCCGCGCGGCCGACGCGCTTGTAGGTTTTTATCAAAAAGGTGTAGCGCGCAATATTGGAGTATGCGGCACTCCTTCAGTGTCAATACCACCCACGAAACGCTCTCTGCAATCTGAAACTGAAAGAAATTATTTGGAAACTAAATCTACAGAATAAAGACACAATCGAATTTTTAACTCGACGCAAGTAAAATGAAAATTAGAACTCCAAAATTCATTGATTTATTTTGATTTTGATAAAAAAAAAATTATAAGACAAATAAGCTAAAATATTTGATATAAATTGCAAATTTAATTTTCTCTATTTAGTGCAGAATTTTAGAAATTGAATCATATGTCATGGCCTTTCCCATTATTTTTTTTTTAAAGTTTTCTCTTGCTCAAAAAATGAGGTTTCATACCTCAAACACAAAGCTGGAAGAGCCGTTTTTTAAATTTTATTTTCAATTAAAGCAAGTTTTCAAACTTAACAAAACGCTGGTTTTTGCCCTCTTTGAAAATTCCAATGTAATGCGCATAATTCACTAGGCTCTATAAATTGTACTAACAAAGAACTTATCAATTAGAACTAAATTATTTAGAAAAATAAAATTCTTATTCATATATTCCTATCAAGTTAAAATTTAAATTTTTTTTATAATATTTTAAAAGATTTCAAATATTATACAAAAATAACTATTTATTATAATTGAAATTAAAAATTTACATCATCAAACAGTGCTGCAGCTTTTATTTAGCTGCATACTTTTACTTTGTGACAAAATTGTCAAAATTTTGTGTTTATAGGGACGACAGATGATTCATTTTTGTTGGCCCTGCTTTATATAAAAATTTCAATAAAAACTTTTGAGTGCGTTATCAGGAATATTCTACATTAAAGTGTATCAACATCAGAGAGCAGCGCGCGCGGCTATCACATGCAATAAGCCACGCATCTCACAGCGCCGCGGTTTCGCCTGTTTCTAATTGTGTACGTATACGTGCGAGAGAGGGAAACCAGCTTTCTGATGATGATATTAATTCCCTTTGATATCGCCGACATCAAACACACCTCTTTACCACGTGTTTGTGCGCGCCGGCGAGGAATAAAATCCCCCGAAAAAAATAATAACCGTTTCCTCCAAAGCAATAAATGAAAAAATAATGCTCATCGTAAGGACTTAATTCTCTCATTGTTTCATAATTTACATTTTTTATCTAGGATTTTTTTATATATTATGATTTACGATTATTCGCGGTTGTAAACGGAACTGCACGCGAGAGAGCAATCCACGCTGATGATTTATTCTCGAATTACGGCACAACTTAATAATCGGTGATTTACATATGTCTTTGTATGTTTGTTTGAATTGCAGAGTGCGGCACAGCACTTCCACTTCTAGACTTTTGTATGGTGCACTCTTTGGGACCACCTGCACAATTTCTGCACCCAGACAATAAGCCCACTAAGCCCCGACACGTAAGTAGACTAATGTATTTTTTTAAATGTACAGCTCTTTCGAATCTTTTTATTTTTATTTTCCATTGTGCCGAGCGGCGAAATGAAGTTGCCCGCCGGTGCTTAATGCATGCGCCGGGTCAAGAACAATATAGTGAGCCACCCACGTCAGGCACACTCTGCTCTTTAAATTGAAAATGTGATGGGCAGCGAGAATTTCCACCCAAAATAGTTGCCCGAGCATGAAATCTGCGAGATGAGCCGCCCCGTAATTAAATTACACGGCTTCATCTGCTGGCGAAATTAATTTTTATTAAATCTGTGACAAACCTCCTAACTTGCCCTTTTTAGGATCCCACTCAATTTAAAATTCATAGATAGCCGTTTAATAAGAAAATAATCCTTGGAATTATAAAATTGCATCAACCTTATATATTTTGGTCAGCGTTTCCATATTTTATTTTACATTTCAAAATTAAATACGACTAGAAATAACTTTAATATTATTTGATTGCCAATTTAAAATAATAGACAAAATGAATTTGACGCTCCTCTATTTAAATGAAATATCAAGAAATTGCACAATAATTAAAAAGAAGTACTTTCAGACATTATATTCAATTTTATTAAATAAATGAATTTCATTGAAACAGAAAATGTAGATCATATATTTATATAAAATTTTAAAAACTTTTTACAAAAATATTTATTTTTAATATTTAATTATTTTATATTATTTTCTTCATTATAATTAATTCTCTTTGTTTTTCTCTGGCGTTTCCAGATGTGGCAGGACATTGAGAGCGTGCTCTCAGGCGACCCTGAGCAACAGCGGGGCCTTCAATCCGCAATCGGCCCAGCCGGACCAACCCCTCCAGCGGCAACCCCCTACCAGTACCCCTCACCAATGGCCAGCAGCGACAAGTACTCGTACCCTGAGTACAACTCAGGGTACCACCACTTCTCCCCTAGTCCGAGCATTCATCTCAACAACCCCGACCAACCCCTCCATCCACATCACCCCCACCAGCTCGCGCAGCAACAGGTGCACATAAAAAACGAACCGGACGACGCTCGTTATGAGCCCACCCTGAGTCAGGTCGTCGACCTCAACAGCAACCCGTACGCTGGCCACCCCTACCCGATGGACACGAAACCGGGGTACAACCAACCCCACCAGTTCAACTACCCCCAAATCCACGGGCAGGGGCAGGACTCGTCGTACAACGGCACCATGACCATCGTCCCCACCCAAAACTCCTTCCACTCGCCCCCCTCCAGTCCTGACAATCACCCTCACGCGGTGCTCCGCGCCCCCTACCCCCATTCTGACATGATGCAGTGGCACCCTCAGAATGCAACCCCCCACCGCTTGGCGGCACACTACCCCTCCGGCCTCAGGGTCATGACCCCTCCAGCCTCCCCTCACCTCGCCAACCTGCTGAACCACCGCCACCACATGCAGCACCCCCCTCCGCAGGTGACCAACTACCTGGGCACCAACCCCGCCCAAATGGACGTCGTCCAGCCGCCGCCCGCCAAACCGAAACGGGGCAGACGTCGCTGGGGCCGGAAAAAGGTGACCACGCACACGTGCACCTACGCCGGCTGCGCCAAAACCTACACCAAGTCCTCGCACCTCAAGGCCCACCTGAGGACGCACACGGGGGAAAAACCGTACCTGTGCTCGTGGAAGGGCTGCGGCTGGAAGTTCGCCAGGTCCGACGAACTCACCAGGCACTACAGGAAGCACACCGGCGACCGACCCTTCCAGTGCAGACTCTGCGAAAGGGCCTTCTCCAGGTCGGATCACCTGGCCCTGCACATGAAAAGACACATCGCTGTTTGATATTGACTCATGATTAAAGTACGCGGATCTCTTGATTTTTATACTGAAAAATTATTTTTAAAATGTTTTTTACTATAATATTATGATGTCGTGCTGGAGTGTGAGCAAAATTAAAAAGAATTATTTTTGAAAAAGTAAAATATTCAGAGGAAGACTGCTGCCGCCGAGTCGAGTTTTGCATTATGTACATTATATATTTTTGCAAATCATAATCTCTCTCTCTCTTGGTAAGAATAACTCAGTACGAGTTGCATTCCTCTCTCTGTGATAATAAACGCACCCTTCTCAGTGTAAACGTCAAATATTTTAATAAGATAAATTCCACGCACGCACCGGCTTTTCTGCATCCTTTCGACGATGACTTGCTGAAAGCTGTATCATTCCAAGCCGTCTCTATTTATTGCCCGTTAATTTATTTTCCGCCTCACTCTCTCTTTTTTTCTGGAAAAAAATCCATGTATATTTTATGTCGCACATCACACACAGGAAATTTGTTGTAAATATCGTACCAGGATAAATAAATAAAAGGTCGCTCGAGGCGCGAGCGAGCGTTTACATGCATAAATCCCTTGGCGTTTGTTTTCCTTCAACCTGCCGAAAATATTAATGTCAACGTAGGGTTTCCGACGAGCAGGTTGTGTAAAAAAAACCTGCAGCCGGTGAAAGGCAAAGGGGAGCACAAAAGGGTTGCCAGAGCAAACAACCTGAGGCGGCGAATGGAAAAAGGAAGGGTTGCATCCTGCATGTGATACGAGCCGCCTTTTTAGCGACCAATTACTCTAGATTATTGAAACAGGTGCAGCATAAAACTTTTGAAAATATATAACATAGTTGTGGTGGAAATGCGTGATAATTTAAAAAGCCCTAAAATTCCTTAATTTATTCTCACTTTTAAATTTTAAGTATAATTTTAATTAAAGAAAGCGTTTTAAAGAGAAAATCATGATAAATATCCAGCAAAAACCTCTTGTTTTGAAGGTGCATTCTTCTTATGTATTAGTTTGATAATTTTAATTTTAGGATAAGATTATAATAAATTAAGAATCAATTGTTAATATTATTAAATTTTTAATACAGATTATAAATATCATTTGTTAATGAAAAGAATTAAAACCATTTGAGATTTTTAGTTAATTTTGGGAATCGTTGTAGGAAGCCAAACATTTACATAAATTTATTACTAGCTTTTTAATTAAGAACCAAGTTTGGTACAAAAGTTTTCATAATATTTTTCAAGATTTATCTCAAAATATAAATAAGATTTTTGGGAATTCTTTTTACAAGGCATTTTGATCAAAATAAAATTCATTTACGTCTTCTCATTTCTTCAATTTATTTTATAAACTCAAGGACACTAATTAATTTTTTTCACCAAAGTAATGCAAACCTATGCAATAAAATTATTTCAATAAAAGACTCTTCTGAAACTATTACTTTCATACTTTATAATTCATGCTTATTGAGCAGATTTTTGTAATTATGTAAATTTTTTATTATTCATTTTCTCTTTAATTTTTTAGCCTAAAATTATAGTGTTGAATAATATAGAATTAAAATTTTGGATTACAGGTTTCTTATTTGTTTGAAGTCTGCCCTTTCCGCAGTAAAATTTTATAACCACATAATATTCCATGCAACACGTTACGCTAGAAATTGATTGGCAGCGTTTGCAAGTCACACTTCTAGGCGATTTCCGACTCACGTCTCTCTTCGGTGATGAGCGCAGCACACCTGCATCCACTCAAATCTCTCTACATTGACAGGCGCACGTCCCCTCGGGTGTTGAATCGGCCGAGAGTTCAATGAATGGGAGAGTACGAAAAAATTCCACCTTGGCCAAAAAATATATTTATAAATTTAAATATACATAAATATATCCACCTCCCATCAAGCATCGGAGCGAGCATTCATGAATGAACGGATTAATGAATGGGCGAACTCGGCAAAGGGGAGGGTCCATCTCTGTGTGATGCTGGCGTCGTTCCTTCTTCTTCTTCTTCTTCTCTTATGAGCGAAATAAAATACACACGAAGAGAGTCCAAAGGCTTGAAACAAGAAGCGTCGTGTGCTGGAGTGAGATTATTATTTAAGGTGCGCCCGCTCGCTTGAGAGAGACGCACTGGCTCTCTTTTTCTCTCTCTCTAGTGTGCATGAAAAGGAAGTGCGGGGTGAAGGGGTCACGGTCCCTTGAATGGGTAAATGACAGGCCCACACGACCGTCTTGGGCTAATCGCACGCTATCACGGGCCAGCAGGCGTCGTCCTTGTTTTTCCATTGTCGTGATGAGGCCATCAATGGACCAACCTGCGCGCGCGCCATCAACTTGCTGAATGGTTTTTTTTTTAACTTAGTGGGTATAATTTGTTTCCGTTCAATCGGCAAATGGTTTTTTTTTGTCTTAAATGCGCGATCGTAATCGGTTGGAAGGGTTGTTCGGTTTAACGGTCGTGGTAAATTATTTTATTTGTTTTGCACGGAAGGTGTACTTGTTAATGGTGAGCTCACGAAGGAGTGTGTGCTTTTGTTTACCTAATGTGAGTGCTTTAAAAAGTTCGTCAGCACAAAAGAATTCAAAATCATTGATTTTTTTTTCTGAAAAAAAAAATGAATGTGAGAAAATAGATAAAATTAATTGAATTTGTCTATTCAAACTTGTAGAAGTTGATGAGAAATTTTATTTGATTTTTATAACGTTCAAAATTATCTTTGATTTTGTTGATATCAAACCCAGTTGGGCTCATTTTATTGCAATTTTAAGATTAATGTAAATTAAATTTCTATAGAAATTCTTGCTTCTGTGTCTGGAAAAAGAAGTTTTTCAGCAAAAATGTTACAAGTTGGATAATGATTTCGTAGCAATTCATTATAAAATGCTAATATAAATTATGATTGAAATTTATTTTCTTATCCCTCTTGTCAGAGAGAGTAAAAAATTATAAATAAATTTGTAGATGGTTATTTAGAAATTTTTTTAAAATATTGTTTCCGTATTTTTTCTTCTCTAATGTGTTGTCTAAAAATTGCTCAACGCTGCCAAATTGTTTAAATATATCACCAAATTTTCGTCAGCATTGTCAAAACTTAGCATTCTTTTGAGAAAATTCAGAGAATAAAAGGAATAAATAGAAGTTGGGCACTCTTGAAGCGACTTGCATGAAGTACGAAAAAACAGGCTTATCCTGTTAATTTTTTAGCGGCCCTACCAGTCTCGGTTTCGGTTTTACCAATACAAAAAGATAGAAAATATATGGAAAAAGGGGAAATCTAAAAATACTCCCCCTTCTTTTCCTAAGTTTTTCATAAAACAGGGAAAAAAGCATTTTTACAAGCTATATAAGCCATGAGTTTACCAGTAATCTTCATAATTTATGCCATAAAATGTTGCAAAAAAATTATACAAGCAGAGGATAATGCCGGATAATGTAAACCTTGCATAACGAAGCGAAAGAAGACAAAATGTTGCACAATATTACATATACAGGCCCGTATAGAAAACACATTAATATATGCTCACACAAGACCATAAAAATAAAGTACGCATTATTATATTTTTTTTCTCATTCAAAGAGCAAGTGGGAATGAGCGTGGCGAATACGTGGAGAACAAAAGTTGGTGCGCGGTTCGTGCCCTCGCGCTGCTCGCGCGCGCGGCATTTCCTTTTTAATAATAACACATCCACAGGCGAGTGTAAGTGATAATTTACATATTGAATATCAAAGGTCAGCTAATAATAATTCGAGAGGGAACTCGAGACGTGCAGGGTGAGAATACATATGCACGCCGGCCCGGGAATTATATATTATATTTTTTATATTACGGAACGCGGAGAAAAAAATAATGAAAAAATACACACGAGCCGTGATAATAATAGCGCACGGAGTCGCACGTGAATTAAGAAAAAAGAGCAGAACGTATAAAACAATGACGGGTGGGATGAATATGGGCGATTCTGAGAGAGAGAGAGAGAAAATACATATCAGGGCCTAGAAAGAAAGAAAGAAGAGACCGGTCGTCGAATTTCCCTCTCAGTCAGACAGATTAAACGCAGATATAAATCTTCCATTAAAAAAGGTATTGTGAAAATATATTAAAGCATACGAGAGTAATAATTTTTTATTTAGCGTCACCAAAAAGAATTTAAATTGCCTCCGTCTCTCTCTCTCTCTTCTCTCTGCAACATGCACACACGTGCGCCCGTCGCTTATTATATACAAAATTGAAAGGCCAGATCACTGCCGTTGATATCGCCATGATAAATGATAAAAATATTAAAATGGACTTTGTCAACCACAAAAAACATTCGTCGGCGCAACGCTGCCCTCTAATTGTGAGATTTTGTTGGCAATCTCCAGCAAGCCGCCCCAGTGGCTAAAAAATTGTGCAGATTTTAATTCATTTCAAATGGATGATTATCGGTTTGGGATTCAGCTTTAAGCTATTGATGGATTAATCTCTAAAAAAACGCAATAATTAACAATTTTTTATTAAATGTAAAGTAACGGGAGCAATTTTCATAAAAGATGCTTGATTTAAAAGTAGAAAATTTAAGAGATTTCTTTAAAAATCAGTAAAATTTACTTCATCTGTGCCTGTAATTTTGCAAAACATCACAACATAATTTTATCTTAATGGACCAAACCTCTAAATATTTCAAATTTTTAAAGTCGTAAAACTTTCAAGGAAGCTGAAATTGCAATAAAAATTCATTTCAATTTCCTTTGAAGGAAAAATTTATTGATCACGAATTTGATGTTTTGCTTAAATTTTTTTCCAATTTTTCCCTGAAACCTCAAACTTAACTCGATTGATTGTGTTTTTGTACAAGACGAATTACTCTTTCAATATTGAATCATTTAGAAGTGTAGAAATTCACCTTAATTAATCACCAGACATCATTTACTTGTATATAAGATTCAATTGAAAAGTATAAAAAATGACCTCCAATCATTGGTTTCATTAAAAGAATCGTTTCAGATTGATTAATTTTCACAAATATAAAATTAAAGGTCATTCGAAGGTCCGCGGTTGTCAGTCAAAGTTCTGATCAGGGATCACCCAGGTGTGGTTGGCCCCCAATTTCCCAGCAACAAATTACGTACGCTAGCTCTGTTTATCAAAAAACTTTATTCCGATCGCACTCCTGTAACGAGTTGGAAAGAAAAAACCGACCGCGCTTCTTTTTAATACAATCTAAACAGCAGTGAATCATTAAATGGTAAAAACGAACTCGGCTCGACCAATCATATTAATTATAACATGTGACAGCATAATTAATGAACACTTCTTTGGAGCGGCCGGTTTTGTTTTTGTACCCGTGGCGAGCTCGGCTGCTGCTGTTTTATAACTCATTCATTTTTTAAATGAATATCAAACGCTCCGACAACAAACATGCATTCCGCGCGGGTTATTTTTATTATTTATTGCGCGCCACTTTTTATTATTTAAGCACGCTGGTGACGCTCTAAGGCTAACTAATGCAAATAAATTAGAGTGGAAATTAAGCGGCCTCTTACTTACCTCGCTTGCCGCCGAATAAGGAGACGCACCGAGATGA